TTTTGATTTTTCTTTTCTTTTATTTCTCAATTTTTCGATTTTTTAAATTTTACATTTTTCGATTTTACTATTTTTTGATGCTTGGATTTCTCAATTTTTCAAGTTTTCAATACTCAATTTTTCAGGATTTGAATATTGAGAACTTGATATGAAAATTATTGTTGGTCAGTATCGAATGCATACAAGTCATGATATGTGGTGTTTTAACTCCTCTAAAGTCGATCTAAAGTACTGTGTTATTTGACCTAGTTGTTTTCTAATGTTATTAATTTTATAATTTAACCGTGTTTCCCAATGAGGGGTGGAGGGTATATGATTATATATTATTATATTATTATTATTAATAATATTATTAATGGGCTCGAGAAAACCTTTCTTTGATCAGCTGCCATAATTGTCAGTCGCACTCTTCTGTTGCAAGCATCCAGCGTTTGATATTTAAAAAAGGTGAAGGAGAAGACCCTTCTCTTTGAAGCGACACGAGGCGCAGGTGTGCTTCAAATAAAACCTATCTGCAATAAAAATGAGACCACGACGATGCAGACTTCAAATTGTGATTGTCATAATGGCCGTTGCAGACATAAAATTCACTCACAAAGAAATATGATACCATGAGGAGAAGCTTGACGCTAAGTGTAGTTTATATTCACGCAATTTCAGCCACATATGGTTTATGTTTCGTAATTGTCTGTGGGTTTGATGGTATTTTGTGCGGTTATAAACTGTAAGCAATAAACAATGTTGGTTAAAATAACGTTTTTTAAGGGTTCGCTGCGGACCTTGGTTTTTAGAGGAATAACGAACGATTAGCTGAGCTAATTGGGTAATTTAAACGTGTCTTACACTAATTTATGGGTGTAATGGAAACTTAATGAAGTTAACTGGCGTATGCGCTTTTCAGTTACAATGGTATTGATGTTTTAGTGTGTTACAAAGCCATCAATTTCACAAGCTTGCAGCAGTGATGCAATAAATTGTGGTAATCTGGAACCCGTAATGAGCCGTTCCATAAAAGCAAAATCGATTAATTTATTTAGTTATCCCCTCCAAAGCACTCGTGACGTCGTCTCAAATTATTATTACATATGCGTCCAGGGATGCAGTTTTCTTTCTGCTTTAGTAACATATTTTACATGTTTTTATTTTTCAGAGGTGCTTATGCAGGATCTTTCAAACAGACATCAACGTCGGCGTGAAAATTTTATGACTCAGTTGGTAGTTTCCAGTAGGGAAATGTTTTATGACGTACGCCACATACAATAAAACGTTTGTATAAATTTGACTTGTGAAGCTGATATTTCTTTTAAAATCGTCTCTAAAAAACAACCTTATTCCAGATGTTTGGATTTTATTTTGGTCGTCAACGCCCATGTAGCTCGAAATTATGGAAGAACGACATAAAAGAGAAACAAATCCAGTTTTTCAAAAAAATATAAAATTTGATTTCGCAAAATTTTATTTATTTTATGATGACACCTACAAGTAAAACAATACCAGCCGCAGTATAAAAAAATGTTGCAAAATAATTGTTATAAAATTCAAGACGGATTCATAAACCACGAGTACAGGAGCAGATTATTTGATAAAATTTAAATAAACTTTACTCTGCAAAATGATGAGGTGACGAAATCAAAATGTTCGTGGGAATAATTAGACAAATTTGGGTTAGTATTGTATCATTTGCACGATATTCTTAAATTATGTATATATAAATTTTGAAAACAATCAGTTCAGTAGTTTAGGAGATTATATAATTATATGTCTCATTGAAATCGACATAGACCGACGACAGACAGACCTAAACGCGAGACCCACCTCTTTCGAACTTTTGGGGTCATAAAAAATCCAGAAAACATGAAAGTAGCGATTCATCGGATGGTTTAAATGTTCCTGGTGCAACTCAAATTTCATGTTGGTAATACTTGCTAACCAAAATACAAAAAACCAAAAAAATATTGTTTAAATTTTTGACGTATGCTGTGAATTACCTAACTTTTGTCTTGAGTTTAAACCCCAAAACAAAAATCACTGAAGTTATTCAGGGACTTTATAAGCTGGATTTGAAGACAGAAATCTAGTTCTAGGTTAAATACTGGGTAATTGTGATTTTTGCTTCCCGAGCGTAAGACAAACTCATTCAAATCAAATATGTATTTTGCAATTACGCTCCGCCTCTCGGTCTAACAACGAATGAAAAATTTATCACAATTGAGATCGGGGCGGGTGGGCGGGGCTTATTCTTCCTTTTTTTTAATATCTAGAGTTTTCTTTCAACAACAGGATAGCTAAACATGTTTTCGGTTTCTTATTGAAAAAAAAGAAGACTTCGTATATTAAGAAACAATGGACAAAATATAAGCCCCGCCCACTCACCCTTTCTCATTTGTGACGAATATTTTATTCATCGTCAGCTGAAGGGCGGAGTTTTGTTGCAAAATCCTCTTTTCTCTACACGAAATTACCATTTGAAATTCATCACAATTGGGACTGGGGCGGGTGGGCGGGGCCTAATCTTCGTTTTTCTGTTTAATATATGGAGTTTTCTTTCATCAACAAGATAGCTAAACATGTTTTCGGTTTCTTATTGAAAAAAAGAAGACTTCCTATATTAAGAAAAAATGGACAAAATATAAGCCCCACCCACCCACCCTTTCTCAATTGTGATGAATATATTATTCATCGTCAGCTGAAGGGCGGAGTTTTGTTGCAAAATCCTCAATTCTCTACACGAAATTACCATATGAAATTCATCACAATTGAGACTGGGGCGGGTGGGCGGGGCTTAATCTTCGTGTTTTTTTTTAATATATGGAGTTTTCTTTCAACAACAAGATAGCTAAACATGTTTTCGCTTTCTTATTGGAAAAAGATGACTGCGTATATTAAGAAACAATGGACAAAATATAAGCCCCGCCCACTCACCCTTTCTCATTTGTGACGAATATTTTATTCATCGTCAGCTGAAGGGCGGAGTTTTGTTGCAAAATCCTCAATTCTCTACACGAAATTACCATATAAAATTCTTCACAATTGAGACTGGGGCGGGTGGGCGGGGCTTAATCTTGTTTTTTTTTTTTAATATATGGAGTTTTCTTTCAACAACAAGATAGCTAAACATGTTTTCGCTTTCTTATTAGAAAAAGAAGACTTCGTATATTAAGAAACAATGGACAAAATATAAGCCCCGCCCACCCACCCCTTCTCGATTGTGGTGAATGTTTTATTCATCGTCAGCTGAAGGGCGGAGTTTTGTTGCAAAATCCTCATTTCTCTACAGGAAATTACCATATGAAATTCATCACAATTGGGACTGGGGCGGGTGGGCGGGGCTTAATCTTCGATTTTTTGTTAATATATGGAGTTTTCTTTCAACAACAAGATAGCTAAACATGTTTTCGCTTTCTTATTGGAAAAAGAAGACTTCGGATATTAAGAAACAATGGACAAAATATAAGCCCCGCCCACTCACCCTTTCTCAATTGTGATGAATATTTTATTCATCGTCAGCTGAAGGGCGGAGTTTTGTTGCAAAATCCTCAATTCTCTACACGAAATTACCATATAAAATTCTTCACAATTGAGACTGGGGCGGGTGGGCGGGGCTTAATCTTGGTTTTTTTTTTAATATATGGAGTTTTCTTTCAACAACAAGATAATTAAACATATTTTCAGTTTCTTGTTGAGAAAAGAAGACGTGGTATATTAAGAAAACATGGACAAAATATAAACCCCGCCCACCCACCCCTTCTCAATTGCGATGAATATTTTATTCATCGTCAGCTAAAGGGCGGAGTTTAGTTGCAAAATCTTCATTTTTGTACAAGAAAATACAATATGGAATATGTTTTTAAAAGAAATATTAATGTTGCAATTAAACTCCGCCCCTCTTCTGATTAGGACTGAAAAACTCACCACAATTGAGATCGAGGCGGGTGGGTGGGGCTTAATTTTTGTTTTTTTTTTTTATATAATATACATAGTTTTTTTCAACAATTTTTTGCCGCAAAGAACAAGAAATATTATAATAAAAAACATAAAGTCAAGCTGTTATTCAATAATTTTGGACCGAAAACATTGAAAAATTGAAAAATTGTAAAAACAAAGAAAATAAAAAACTCAAACGAAAAATTGCAAATGGAAAAATTAAAAATTAAAAACTTGAGAAACTCAAATCGAAAAATTGCAAATCTAGAAAAGTTGAAAAAATGAAAAATTAAATTTAAATTTGACAGCTATGAACTGACATGTTGCTGTTTGCAGTATTGCCAACACAAAAATTTGTTTCAATCTTTAATATAGTCACCCGGTATAAAATCAAGTACCTGCGGGTTTTATTTCGCTTAGTTGTGTTACAAGATTCGAACTAATAGTGATTAAGGTCATTAATTAAAAATTTCTATTTTTATTTTTTCATGATGTATTTGTTACTCAGACTATAAAATGCAAAAAATGAGTAGAACTTTCGGTTCATTTAAAAAAAAAGTGTGTTCATTCCTAATTCAAAAATATCTCAAAACTCATTTAAGTTTCCCTGTAAAAAACTACGACAAAACAAACGATGCCTTTTTGGGTTATTTTTCAAGTCCATTGGGCTCAAGTGGTTCTTTCGCGTCCTGGATTCAAATTTTCTTACTTTCAGAAAAAAAAACTTGTGTAAAAAAATTCAAATTCAACGAAATCGAACATTTCAATAATAAAAAATTTAAAATTATTAAGACAAATTGAGGGTTCACGGGGTGTCATTTTAAAATCAGTGCTACCAACTACACGGCGCGTGACATGTCAAACCATTTCTGGTGATTTTCGTGTGCGAATACAACTTTTCGTTTCCAGTGGTGGCACATAATTCCGAACAATTAGTAGTTTTCGCTTAAGAGAAAGTACCTAATGGCTTTATTATTAATAATTAAAACCGATTATTCGAACCCGCCGGCGCCACTGCATCTATCGACCGCGCTTCGGTGGGGATAAAGCGAACGACCTTACCGACCGCTAGTGATTTTCGTTTTAGTACCGTTCGGTTGGCATTGCACGTCAGCTGTGTTTTGTGTACGCTGTCAATTCGACACCGTCCAAAACCACAAAAATGAGTCTAACGATCGAAAAAACGAAATACGAGTGTGCCGCTCTGCCCAAGCGATGGCAGCGCGACGACATGCTGCGAAAAACGGGGCTCTCGGTGGGGAAAGTGGACGTGATGTACTACAGTCGCGGCGTCCGCAACGACGCCTCCCTGGTGCCCCCCATCCGGCAGACGGCCTCGATCTTCAAGCAGCCGGTCACGGTGTACAAAACCCAAGAAAGCAAAGTCAAATCGGACTACAAGAACGGCAACCAGGAGAAGCCGAAGCAGCTCATCTGGGAGAAGCGGCTGGAGGGGCTGCGGGCTTGCGACCTCGACGGGACGGAGTTCGAGGCCATGGAGCTGCCCAAGGGGCTCAAGCCCGTGGGGCCTAATGTTAGTGAAGAGACGATTATCCAGAGTGTGGCGACGGCGCTGCACGTGTCCACGCAGCCGGTGACCGGACAGACCGGCAGCAAGTCGGCGCTGGAGAAGAACCCGGGGGTGTTTCTGGACCCTAAGCAACCGCTAGTGCAAGCCGTGAATATTTCAGACGATGACATTAAGCGACAGGAGGACAGGGTGGCTCTGGCGAGGAAAAAGCTGCAGGAAGCGTTAAAGTCATAGGACGGCGGTTTTGTTTATTTATTGTAGGTAGCTTTAATTGTACTTTAATGAAGGACGATTTAAGTTGTAATTTGTTTAATGTAGCAATAAGGTTTAATTTAATGGTTTGTGACGATAAGGTGGGACGCGATCACTGACCGAGTTAGGATATGATTAAGTATTGGTAGGTGATATTTTCGTAATTTTCAATACGATGAAGTATTAAGAAAACATGTGAATCTTCGTGGTTAACACTGTGGAGCGTGATCAGGTTGCTATTGTTCAATAAAATCGACAGTTGTCTGAGTGTGATTTTTTTTATTAGAATTGTAATTGCGGGTGGTTTTTAACGTTAGAAATTTTATAATACAAAGAACGTCAAGTATAATCCATTTCAAATCTATACTCATCCCAGGAGTTGTCAAATTTGAAAAAAAATAAGGTTATGTTAATGCCATTATGCGATTGCTGGTGGATTGTTATAGTATTAAAATATTCACAATTTATTCAGTAATGACGTTTGAGACTTTGTTTTAAAAAAGCGCCACTTTTAAAACGTTCTACAATTGATCAGCTTTGTTCATACTATGATTTTTACATATTATATTAATAAATATGAAGTCCCGTAATGTGACACATTTTTAGTTGAAATTGGTATAATGTTTTCAAGAATTTCCTGTTAACAGCTGTCAAGACTTACAGATTGTCGCAATTTTTGATTTGCAGAATGTATCCTAAATATAACCTAAATTTATCACATGTCACCATAGACGGATCTGTCACACTGTTACTTCCGTTGTGCCAACATAAACGCAAGAAAAGATCATATTTTTGTCTAAAAAGACTCAGTCATTTCGAATCACACGGTATAACGAAATTTATTCCAACTTAAGTGTACTGTGGCACTATTTTAATCGGTTACTTCCAGAGCGGAAGGTAAGGAAGTTTTGTAGTAGGGTCCATCTGGCGAATGGCTACTTTTATGTTTCATGGGGCCATTTGAAACCACTTTGGAAAAAAACCTAAGAACTCGGATAATCGAGGAGCAAACAAATCTTAAAATAAGCCAAGGAATAACCCGATGAATTTTTGCTGCCTGTTTAGAAAACATCCTGTATCTTAGGTAGACAATTTTCGAAACTACCCTACCGATTGTCGTCAAATTTTATACGTATATAAACGCTATCCAAAATTTGTCTAATCATCCCCAAGTCAGGTCAAAATTTTGCATAGTAAATGCTATTTAAACTCCATAAAATAACATCCTCCTGCACTGGGGTTTATGGATCCGCCTTGAGGCTTTACCCAAAGTAATCAGATTAAAAGAAAAAATAAATAAATAAATAAAAATTCCGTAATAACTTTTTATAACAATGTAATAGAACGTTCACAGAACACTTTTTTTTCTTACACTGTAACTGCTATTATCTATGTGTTAACTTAGACCATTTTTTTTAATACAAATTAACAATGTGTCCACCTAGAAAAATTGGGTCTAAATTTATTCTTCCACTTGTTTTAATTTTCTTGACAAATTTTGCGTTCAACTTTTTATTGCAAACAAATATAGTGTAACAAGAACAGTTTTTATAGTTTTCAATTTATCGAGATTTCTATCTTTCGGTTGTTCAGTTTCCCAATTTTTCGAAGTTTCCATATTTTGATTTTTTTGTTTTTCGATTTTTCGACTTTCCAGTTTTCAATTTTCCATTTTTTCGATATTTCGATTTTTCAATTTTTCGTTCTTTCTGTTCAATTTCTTGATTTTAGGTTTATCGATTCTTCAATTTTGGATTTTTTGGTGTTTCAGTTTCTCGATTTTTCAGTTTTTCGAATCTACACTTTTTCAATATTTTAATTTTTTTAAAATTTTTCGAACACTCGATTTTTCAATTTTTCAGATTTTTAGATTTTTGATTTTTCAGTTCTTCTTTTATTCTATTTTACATTTTTCGATTTTTAAGTTTTTCGATTTCTTGACAACTTGGTTTTCGATTTTTTAAATTTTTTGGTTTTTTGAGTTTTAGATATCCCGATTTTTCAAGTTTTTGATTTCTTAATTTTTCAACATTTCGATTTTGGTAATTTTCCAATTTTCGGGTATTTTAATTTTAAGGATTTTAAAATTTTAGATTTTTGAATTTTTCAGTGTTTAAATTGCTCCAGTTTTTCGACTTTTCCAACTATTCGAATTTGGATTTTTCGGTTTTTGGCTATTTCGATTTCTCAATTTTTCGATGTTTTGATCTTGTAATTTCACTGTTTTTCGATTTTTTAAGTTTTCGATTTCCTAATTTTTTGCCCCTTCTGTTTTGTAATTTTTCAGTTTTTCATTTTCAAATTCGAAGCCAGAAAAAATGCAAATCTAAAATTGTGAAACGAAAACCCAAAAACTGAAAAATTTCACATTGAAGAAAAGAAAAATTATAAAATGAGAACCTTGAAAATCCGAAAAATTGAAAAAATAAAGAAAATAAAAGAAACTCATACGAAAAATTGAAAATATGAAAAATTTAATAACAGACATGATAAAATCCGAACACTGAAAAGACGAAAAATTGAAAACTCGAGAAATTATGAATATAAAAATTGCAAAATCTATAAATCGAAGAAATAAAAAATTTAAAAATGGAAAAATTGCAAATCGAAAAATCGAAGAAAGAAAAAATTGATAAAACGAAATTAAAGTCTAATTTTTTTGGCTGTACTTCAGTGGTGATGGAGGTTCTGTCGAAATAACCTTGACCAATTTTTTATTTTTTAGAGTATAGTATTGTGTGACGTCAGATTAATTAGTTTTAAATATGCTGAACACATTCGATTTTTCTTTAATAACACACTATACATTTTTTACAGATTTTTGTAAGATTTTTTTTTTTAATTCATTGATGTCATATTTTGCTAAAAAGTTGTGGTAAAAAATTTTAATTTTTGTGTCAAAACGGCTGTTGGTGAAATTATTAACACAATTAATTCACAAATCTAGTTACTTCGTGCTAAAATCTTAGTTAGCAAGTTTGCGATTTTTTTTAGCTTTTGTTAATATAATATGTTAAATTTCTGCAGAAAAATAACAATTACATAAATACAAAATTTTATTGCAAATATTAAAGTATGATACATCAAAGAATAAGAAAAATATACATGGATTTCTAAAACAATAAAAAATAAAAAATGAAATAGAGAAAGAGGTGAGCGGGGCTGAGTTTACCTTTTTCTTAAAGAGCCATTTTTGATGTTTTTGACACATTCATTAATTTTTTTTGAGCCACCTCTAAGCAAATCTAAAAAATATAAATGCAATGATAAATCACAAGTAAAAACTCATCATATTTTGCACATTTCGGGTAGACTTAGGAATTTAACTCGTTACTATGGAACTTTGCAATTTAACACCTTTAAATTTCACAGTTTTTACAAGTTTAATAGGGGCAAAATCCGCCCCCTATTTTCCCAAAGGATATGTCATCTGCCAAAATCACTCTCATCTTACCAAGTACTAGCCCCGCCCACCCGCCCCCTATTTTGTGAGAGGATATGTCATTTGCCAAAATCAGTCTTATCTTACCAAGTATTCGCCCCGCCCACCCACCCCCTATTTTCTCAGAGGATATGTCATCTGCCAAAATCACTCTCATCTTACCAAGTACTAGCCCCACCCACCCACCCCTTTTTTCTCAGAGGATATGTCATCTGCCAAAATCAGTCTTATCTTGCTAAGAAAAGACTGATTTTGCCCATACTAAACTTGTAAAAACTAAAAGGTGTTAAATTGCATATTTCCATAGTAACGAGTTAAATTTCTCAATCTGATTAGATATTTATTTTTTAACAACTCAGTCATTAATTTTTCTGAGACACCCTGTATGAGCAAATTCAAAAAATGTTAATTGTATGTATATTAAAAATGAATCACAAGTATAGACTCATCATATTTTGCACGTTTTCAATTTTTTAAGGGGGATGAGCAAATACAATTTGATAAAAAATTTACCAAGCTTATGATAACTTTAAAACATCTGCAAGGTTTCAAAGGATTCGGTTCTGGAGTTTCTAATTAATAAATCAATAAAATAAATTCACGCATTCATTAATTTTTTTTTTGAGTCACCCTGTTTAAGCAAATTTAAAATATACGAATGCAGTGATAAATCACACACTGATCATGTTTTGCACATTTTAGATAGGATTTATCCGGCAAAATTTTTAAATGACGTCATCACATTATTGGTGTGGATGATTAGACAGACGGAAAGAAGACCTACTTTTTCATGTTCTAGGAGCCACAAAACGTCAAGGAAGCATTAAATTAGACATTAGCGTGAGTTAAGGAAATATTGTAATATTGTTCATTTGGCGAATGGCTACTTTCGTGTTTTCTTAATGTTTCACGACTTCACGAGTATGAAAAAATAGATCTACCATTTCTGCCTGACGTCACATCCAATTTTGCATGGTAAATGGTATTTAAATTTTATAAAATAACATGTTTCTGTACTTGCGGTTTATGAATCCGCCAGAAGTCTTGTGGCCTGCCTTTTTTTCTTACAATGTGATTGGCATGACCCATATTTTTAACTTATTCGGCTTTTTGTAACATAAATGACATTTCGCTAAATCAAATTTTACAATGTAGTTCAAGGGCGAGGGAAGTTGTGTCTAAATACATTTACACCAATTTTTTTGGATCCAAAAACCATACATTAAAGTAAGTACATATTTGATTCTGTAAATTTTATTTTCTACGATAATTTCTGTAAGTTCAAAAAAATGATAAACAGCACGTAAAGTTGTATTTCAGTAGAATTTTCGGAATAAATTTTGTGCTCAACTTTTTAGTGGAGACAAATATTTCAATTTTGAGACACAGTGTAACGATAACAATACCATTTTTGATTTAATCAATAAAAAAATTGCTACATTTACTATTTGTTGAGATATCTTTCCCAAAATCAGTCTTATCTTACCAAGGACTCGCCCCGCCCACCCGCCCCCTATTTTCTCAGAGGATATGTCATCTGCCAAAATCGCTCTCATCTTACCAAGTACTAGCCCCGCCCACCCGCCCCCTATTTTCTCAAACGATATGTCTTCTGCCAAAATCACTCTCATCTTACCAAGTACTCGCCCCGCCCACCCGCCCACTATTTTCTCAGAGGATATGTCATCTGCCAAAATCACTTTCATCTTACCAAGTACTAGCCCCGCCCACCCGCCCCCTATTTTCTCAGAGGATATGTAATTTGCCAATATCAGTTTTATCTTACCAAGTACTAGCCCCGCCCACCCGCCCCCTATTTTGTCAGA